TTCTCCAAAATGAAAGCTTTCGTCAATTGATGAACCATCTTAGAGAGAGGAACTCGACAGACGATTCTCCCCTCCCGATTTCAGTCGAAACGAAATGAACTCAACAAACTTACACTGTATTATTACCAAACAGAAAACCGATCAACCACTTCATGTGTTCCGAATTCGTGACTACACATGCTTCAAATTTGCCTCCCTTACATAAAAATGTGTACTACATCATTTCCCAGCATGAATTTAATATCCTTCGAAAGTCCTTGGGTCAGATAAAACATCTCGCTTGTTTGAGTGGTTGATTATCCGCATCGAACTGGCCATGACCCTCAGGTCCAAATGAAGCCATGGTAGCTTCCGGTACCCCCGCATCTCACTCTCCAAAGTCGGTTACCAATGATAAGCAAAGACTCGATCAATTTGTTTTGAGTGTTTTATGAGAATAGAACTAAGCTAGCCACTATCTAGTTCCAAACAAATGGATGAAGTTTTGGTCAGTTCACGCACCGCCCAGGCGTGAATGCTCTGCCCCAACGATGCTTGAATTTGGCAGCCATGATGATGTGCACCATCTTATCAGCTTGCTACGTGTGCACACTGATGCTTCACATTCTACGCATCCGCCACAATTGTCCTTGTTGTTTTGGACCCATTCTTCGTTCGAGACTTTGAATAGCGTTTCTCAAAATTGTATTCTCTGCACAGTATATTTTCCAATCAACACACAATACCATTTGTTGGGGTCCAGGAAGGTTTACAGAGGCGAATACAATATGGGCATCTCATGATGCATCCTCATCACAATGAGAGCATGCATTGGTGGGCAGGAGGTTGGTATTGTAATCATATCCCATGACTGGACTTCCATAGCTCGCTCATCTGGGGGGGGGACTTTTGGCACTGGATGTTTAGCAATTGTCATAAAAAATTGAACAAGGGAACGTTTTATATTGTCTGGCAAAGTGGCAAGAAAATTCCCCTGGTGTACAATAGGCATAACTTTATTCTATTGACTATTATCCTTAACTCTACCTTTCCTTGCTATGGCCCTTTTATAATGTCAAGTTATTTTAAGGTTGATGTGCCTTTAACGTGAATATTTTTGAAAGGAAATCAAGGTCATTGATTCTTTGGGCCTGCATCTTTCACCTGAGATGAGAAGCCGTTCCTTCCTTCTGCCCATTTTGAGGAGCCCTAACTACCTTATCTTCCCCACCCAAGGGCTTCGTTGCCATGAGTACATGGAAATCCCCATAGCCTGATGCAAACATGTGTCCTGACTCAAGGACAGCACCTTACATCAATGAGCCCATGTTGGAAACCATCACATGATAGAAAACAAATATTCTTTAAACATCCCAATGAAATATTTATAATGGGAGTATAATACACAGTCAGGTGCTACAGATTCGGGTGTCCGGGGTCTGTAGGGGAAAGTGCGGGTGTTCTCCCCGTGCGCTTGGCCATCATCCCTGGGCCCAGCAGTCCGTCGATTGGCCAAGACAGACTTGCGTTATTTTTTTTTTCCCAACATCCACCAAACTTCCAATCACCTCCTCCTGCTCGACCACCAGACCGACAAGATCAATCAAATAGGATGTTCCCCGAAAGAAGTATGTTTTCGTCCCTTGGGAATTGCGTATGATGACTCACTTTTCCTTGGTTGCATTGTGATTCTTCCTCTGCCCAAGCAGACTTGGTGGGAGCTAATAACGGAATCGGGCTCGCTCATAAGGTACTCCTCTCTGTTTGTATTCCAAGCTCTGTTTGCCGTTTCTTACCTGATTTTTTTTCTTCTTTCACGACGATGGTAGGACTCTGAGCGTTGGGGAAACGACCCCCGAAGAAGAGGTGACGACAGTTTTGTGTGTGGTTCAAACCTATTCCCCCTGCTCTCATTTTAGTCACCCAACCTCTGAGTCACTCCCGAAACCATCGTAGCGAGACTTTTCAGGCCACCGCTCAAGACGTTCAACCTCTCGTTCCCGCTCACCTCGAAGAATGCACCGTTCCGATTCAAGAAGTCGCTCACCTCGCCGTTCCTCTCGCTCTCCCACTCGCTACCGTCATGATCGAGGTTTGTACCTCTCGACCATTTATATCCACCTTGGTTCCTACGCTGCTCAACGTGTATTCTAACTCCGATGATCTGTGTTGATTTCCTATTCCAAAAGACAGGGATGATCCCAATCCAAAATACGCACATTCCAATGGTCGCCCCAGCGGCTACGGCCCCCGGGGACGGGATCATCTTGATGACTCTGGAAGACGTGCCACGGGTCGCGAAATGGCTGCCTTAGAAGCCAGCAAGCGAAGTATTAAAGAGAATCGCGTTTACGTCGGCAACTTGGCCTTTTCGGTCAAATGGAATGACCTCAAGGTCAGTAGCATTATCAACTTCTCTCGCAGTCCGCGAAAAATAGTCTTAAGGAATGCTGACATTTGCCAAACTGGGCGCAGGATTATATGCGTGAGGGTGGGTCAAGTTTGCTAGACAGTCATTTCTTCCAACCTTCGAGCCTAGCTGCACCGCCTATTTCATTTGCCATCAGAAGGGGTGTTGGGATTATGGGTTGCCTTTGTTGGATAGTTTCATGAAGATTGGGCTCAGGCGGGCACTTGGTTTTACATGGGTACTGAGCTTGACGAGCTACGGATGTACTACAAGACCTATCAAGTCGTAAGACACACGAAGGTTGCTAGCGGAGTCGTATACCTTTGCATTTGGGAGGATGGGCCCACCTATTCCGGTATGATTTCGTAACGCAAGCTGGCTTGAGCAGCAGTAATGTAGATGAGCTGATGACGTGGAAGGGTGGGGGACTGATGGTGGCATTGGCAAGCATGATGCAAAAGTTGGGTGATTGGTTGCTGACGGGAGGGATGGATTTGGTTGTGTCTCGACTCAATCATGGCGGCAATTGGCATTTCTCGTTGACATACATTTACAGTGGGCAACGTGGTCTTTGCGGAGGTGATGGTCCTTCCCAATGGAATGAGTAAAGTAAGACTTCTCTCAACCTTACCACCATATCCGCCAGCAAGCATACCATCCCCATCGCTGACATCTCATTGAAGGGTTGCGGAGTTGTCGAATTCAGTACCCGCGAAGAGGCAGAACGGGCTGTGAGGGAGTTGAATGACACACCCCTACTTGGCCGCCAGATTTTTGTCCGAGAGGTATGTTGTGCTTGTGATCCGACGGGGAATGCTTTCCGTGCAAAACCTTCCCATTGCCGGCATTGTTATGGTGGCTGAGCAGGGATTTGAATGATAGGATCGCGAAGAAGAAGCACGGTATGGCTCTTTGGCTGTTTCTGGAAATGGTGGTCGTGGGCCATTGCCTGGCGGATTTGGTGGCAGAGGGAGTGTTGGGCGTGGATTTACTGGGGGACGTAACAGCTTTTCGGAGAGTGGCCAATCTTGCAAGCAACTCACTGTCTCCGGGGTAGGCAGGCCCATCATCTTCCCGTTTTCTATCGACTTTGACTGAAAGCTCTTAATTTTATCTATCTTAGCTGCCCTTGACCGTAGGGTGGCAAGACCTCAAAGACATGTTCCGTTCGGCCGGTAACATCATCAGGGCTGATATTTTTTTCGGTGCCGATGGATCTCCAACTGGCACTGGAACTGTGATCTTTGAGACCTCCAGAGATGCTCAGAATGCCATATGTTGGTCCAGCCTGATATTACTGATAAGGATAGCTTTCACTCCCATACTGACTATGATTTTTTTCCCCGTCTCTCCTTCAGCAATGTTTAATGGCTTCGAATATGAAGGACGCACGATGGAGGTCCGTGAGGATCGCGCAGGGAGTGCTAATGCTGGATTCAGAGGTGGTCACCACGGCAGCACTAGAGGTAGCTTAGGTTCCGTCCTTCAACCGACAACGTAAATGTCTGGTATGTTGACGTCTTGGTACCCTGAATACTTTACTTTAAAGGTGGGCGTGGTGGTGTCAGGGATAACTTTGGTGGTAGTGGTCCCGGGGGACGGGATACGTCGAACCTGTATGGTGATTATTCGGGACAAGACGGGTCGCCCAGCAGTCCTCCTGGGTACAGAGGAGCTCCTCGAGGCATCACTGAAGGTCCCTCATTGAGCATCCAACCAAACCAGCAAATTTTCGTGAAGAACGTAAGTCGATGATCGTGTTGGGATACAGGGCACCAGGATGCAGTGGAAAAGAATTTCTATCTAATTTTTTCGGATGCCAATTGTGGTAACTTATAGCTTCCATGGTCCACCTCAAATGATGACCTTGTGGAACTCTTCCAAACGACGGGACGAGTGCAACATGCCGAAGTGTTATTTGACGGAGGGAGATCGAAGGGGGTAGGTGTGGTGGAATTCGAGACTGTTGAGGAGGCTGAGACGGCCATTGGTACGTGTATTTGATCCGAGGGTGCAACAAGACCAGAGAGATGCACATTTCATTTAATTTTTTTTTTGATCACGACCAGCCAAATTCCAAAATTACTCTTATGGTGGTCGACCATTATCCCTCGAGTTCAACGCCCGGTGGCGCGACTTCTCACGGGGCCTATAGGATACGCAACTTTTTTTTTTTGCTTGCCAACCTTGTCGTTCCCGCGCCTTAATTTCATTGGACGAGCAGTGATAACCACATAGTCCAGAAAGGTCTCCTTTAAACACCTTTTACCACATAAATAAATCATTGTTCCGTAACATCGAAACCAAAATAAATGAATAAATATATAAGTAAATCATTGAAGCAGAGTCAAGTTTTCCGTTGTGGATCTTCGCTCACCTTTCAAATAGCGACACGTTCCCAGCAAAAGATAGTTTTACCGCGCATCACTTGACAAGTTGAATCTATGGAATTTCCTTTTTGCTACCATCACGGCCTGCCTGTCTTGACCAACACTACTACATCAAGAATACACCCTCACCTCAGAGCAATAACAACAACCAACCATTCGGTATTTCCTGACCGATCATTGTTGTCGCACAGCGCGGCATGCTAAAAGAAAGGCAAAAAATATGTCCCAACAGTGGCTTGAACACTGGACCTTCAGATCGACGTTCTACTTCAGTCTGACGCTCTCCCAACTGAGCTATTGAGACCGGGCGATGACGTCACGCTTCCACTGGGACATATATTATTTACCGCACGAGGTTTTCGCAACATCTCAAGATGGAGGAACTTTTTTTCTGAGTGATCTTGTGTTTTGAATAACTGAAATTTTCTGATTACCTTGTCAAGAGTCATGGTTGAACAGAATGCCAGTGATTTGTTTTTTGATGTTGCAAGAAGCTTGGGAAGGTAGACTGCCAGATTGTCAGCCTACCTGACATCAAGGATAATTCCTTTTAGCTACAGGAGGTTCAGAATGGACAGAGATATCAAGGAGATGAATCTTTTGGGAATTTCTGCTCAAGTGGAAATGGGTTTGGTGGATGATATCCAAGGATATGGGGATAAGCAAAAGATTAGACCAAATAATAGTAAGATAAAAATATCTTATTATTGTTATGATCCTGTAACCCCCTCTGGGACTCGCCAGGGGTTTCCCAACTGGG